ATTCTCTGTTGTTCAAGTGCCAGATACAACATGGCTCTCACATTCCTGAACGTGGCATATTGTGCTGCTCTGTTTGTTTGTTGTTTCCGAGCAAGATTAAATTTTATTCACTTGAGCACCGCGTTGAACTTTAACCCACTCTTCGTCATCTTCTGAATCAGTGATTTGTTTGTCTTGCTCTTTGGTTCTCAGTTTTTTATATTTAGTTTGACTTCTACGTGAAATCCACGTTATTCAAATGCCTTTTTGAACCGTTCCTAGTTTTCCACTCTATCTTGGAACTATCAATCACATGCCTGAAGCACAGGAGCATCTGACTTTTTTTCTCCCTTCTACTGGCTAGTTAGAAAATAGAAGTAGCTCATTTCCAGCTGCAGCATGAACATTTTCATGCGATAAAATTTACAAATAGCCTACTTATTCAGCAATATAAAAGCTTCACGAGCACTGTTTCAAGATTTTGCTTACATGGGAAAGTTAGTTTGGCTAGATAAAGCTCTAACTTTTTCCGTGTGCATGTATGCGTAGGACAAGAGCTGATTATTCCAAATTAACTTTTTTTGAGTCCGCTTTACTTGGGAAGTTAATCTGCAACGGCTAAACAGGAAGAACTCCCCTTATAGATATGACTTCAAGCCTTTGTAATTACAGAAGGTGCTCATCTTGTCACAAAGTAGAACATTTAGCAAAAATGAGAGCAACCCCCCCCCTTATCAACATTTAATTATACAGTGCACAGCAAGGAGTCACAGATCAGGCTCCCGGTGTGCTGTGCTTTGTTCAAACACTGAGTAGATTTTTTAAATCAGCTTTTCAAAGAGCTGGCATTTTAAATAGAATTTTCTTTTAGTCATCCCAACAAGGTGATCAATCACTGTACTTGCTAGCGTGTGCTGCTGATGTGTTTACCAGGTCTTTCAGAGCTTTAGCATATAGAGGCTATTTCTCTAATGTAAAAAAAAAAAAAATAAAATAAGTCCAGTATACTTTTATCATAGTTATATAAGTGACAATAAGCCATAGAATCTTATGTAAATAAACATTTTTGTCACTCCCCAATGACAAATAACCTAAGTGCTAACTATAAATGACAAGGTAAGGGTGATCACTCTCTCAGTGTCAACAGAGTCTGAAAACTGACAGACAGGGAGTTTCTTCTTGTATTTCCAGAAATGTTTCTTGGGTATCAGATTAAAGGGGATAGCACAATGCAATTTCTTTATTGACTCTACAAAGAAACCAAGAGATTGAAAGATGGGCTGTTCTTGCATAATCTTTCCCCACATGGCAAATGAGTTGGCATCCCTATTAAAGTGGTTGGCATCTTGGTACATTTGGGAAAACGAACAAAAAAAATCTTAACTGCATCCTTGTTTTCCCATCCATGAATGAACTGATCTCAAAGGCCCTGAGTCTGCAGACTCCACAAATGGACAGTGGAGCAATTTCAGCAAAATGCTGAGTCTTGATACCGACAGGTTGCCAGAGTTATTCTTATTTCAGGCAGCCTTTCAGAGCAACAGATTTCCATTTGCCCAAATTAAAACACTCGCAGTTCTAGAAAGAGAGAATAAACACCTCTTTGGGATGTGTTGACATCACTGCAAATACGAGCACATGGTGCAAAATCACCCTGTGAGTTATATCTCTTTTTCAGTCACGCTGACATAAGCAATGATTTTTAAACTCTTGCCTGATCACCAAACCCAGTTTATTTGTATACCTCAAAGCCTCTCTGGATCTCAGAAGCACAACCCTTCTTTTAATAAATATAATTAATTTGAGCAGGGATCTGCCAATAGTTATTGCATAAGACAATTTGTGCCATTTGGTTTAATACAAGGTAGTGTTTCCTTGGTGTGCATCACTGTGGTTTAGCAATAAAACTGTCAGGATGTCTCGGAGAATGGCTTAGTAATCGCCACTTACTGGGAAAAAAAGTGACCTGCAGTTAATGAGGACGAGTTGGTCTAGTATGCAGATCATCTGCCCTTACTTTTACCAAGGAAGTTTTACTTAAAAATCTTAATTCACCAGTGAGTCTTTGGGGGTCAAAATGGTGTCCTGTTAAACAATATAAAAAAGTTTAAAGCTTCATTGAGTCAGGCCCTGGGTCCATTTAGTTCCGTATTCTGACTCTGGGAGTGGCAGGAGGAGATGCTTTTTAAGGAGAATATAAGAACTTGGCCTTTTTCTGTGCTCTGCTCCTTTTATACTGCTCCCCAGTATCCCAAACTGTTCGGTTAGAGATGGTGGAGAACACACCCCTTTAGTACCTCTTTATGAAATATAAATCTGTCTAATCCTTTTTTGAACCTGCTGGACCCTCTGCCTTACACTGTCCTGTGGCAGTAAACTCCAAGAGTTCACTATTTGCTCTGTAAAGTACTTTATTCTAGCTGTTAAAATCAGTTTAAAACGTCATAAGCTTGTGCACTGTATATGTGCATATATATAATGTTCGGTTCCATTCACAACTGTTCTTTCTGACAGATTCCCATTCAATTTTCATGTTCGTATTCATCCAGGAGCACAGCATAGCCGTAGTAGAAAAGCAGACTGAAAATGCACGTTTTGAGTTGTTCCGTGCTAAAATATGGAAGCTCTTAAGCATTTAGGCAGGGAACTCGTGCTTAGCCTGGTCAGAAGCCGAGAGCTCTGCTTCTTGGGTGACATAAAGCAGAATGGGTAGTGTGGGGCAATCTAGTGGGAGGAAAAGATGCAGCTGTAACTTTAATTTGCTGGTTAAAAGGATTCTGGACTTTCTGAATCAGCATCAGGGCTCTGTCTAATCTCCTTCCTCCACTCATGTTGCAACAGAGGGTTGCCTAAGTGAGCTATGTTGGCTCTTTGCCACTCAATATTTCCCTTCACCAGGGAAACCCCCAACTGGCTTTTAAAGCCAGCTTTATGGCCCCAGGATAGTGCCAAAGGTGGTACGAGGCGCCTCACCGCCTTCTCCAAGAATTTGAGGGCAAGGATGGGGGAGGGGAGCACAGGAGAATACCGAGGCACGCTGATAGTGAGCTGTTCCTTACACTTTAATAGCTGGTGCCTCTTGCCTAACATACTGATCATCCCTGCTTGTTTAATATTTTTTTAAAAATTATTTTATTTTGGGGGCAGAGTTGCAAGAACTGATACATCGGTTTTGGACAGGCAAATAGGAATCGGTGTGCAAACTGCCTTGTCTTTAACAACTGAAAAGCATATAAACATATAGGGTAAAAAAAAAAGAAAAAAAAAGAAAAAAAGAAAAAAAGCAGCTTCGAAAAGTGCTTTGTCTCCACCATCCAGAAAGCGTATCCCTCCAAGAGGAAGGTCTGTGATTCAGGGGGAAAATCCCATGACAAAGCCTTTAGCCCTAACAATTGCATGTAAGAGAGATTAAGTCATGGGAAACTCTTGTGAATAGAGTTGCGTGGATAAAAAAGAAACATGCAGCAACACGAAACATGCCTCGCATTGGGTTTCACTGCGGTCTGGAAACAGGGACCGTGCTTCCAGAGCTGTTCTCTGGGGGTACAGGCACCTTTTGGGGCAAGCAGGGGACTAATTACAAGGGACCTGGAGGGACACACACACACTCACGGAGCTTGGCTTTGCATCAGACGTGGTCAACGTTAACCTTTTCTGCTGTGTGCCCACATGAAAAGGAAAGGAAACACAATATTCCCTAAGGATCACCGGGATGATCGGTGCTCCTTCAGACATGGGGGACCTCAGGCCCAAGGCCCACCACGCAGTGCCCAAGTGGCCAGGGAGGCTCGCTTCTGTCTTCTGTCTTCAAGAGCTCGAAGGGCAAAGCAAGGCCAATAATAGCCGAAAACTTGGTTATTTTTTCGTTTTAACGCTCGAGCCGTTACACAGCTGCTCAGATGGAACTTTTGTGCCTGTACTCGGCACTGGTGAGGCCCCACCTCGAGTACTGTGTCCAGTTTGGGCCCCTCACCACAAAAAAGACATCAAGGGGCTAGAGCGGGTCCAGAGAAGGGCAACAAAGCTGGTGAGGGGTCTGGAGCACAAGTCTTATGAGGAGAGGCTGAGGGAGCTGGGGTTATTCAGCCTGGAGAAGAGGAGGCTGAGGGGAGACCTTCTCACTCTCTCCAACTCCCTGAAAGGAGGGTGTAGAGAGGTGGGGGTCGGTCTCTTCTCCCAAGTCACAGGCGACAGGACGAGAGGAAATGGCCTCAAGTTGCGCCAGGGGAGGTTCAGGCTGGATATTAGGAAAAATTTTTTCACTGAAAGGGTTCTCAGCCACTGGAATGGGCTGCCCAGGGAGGTGGTTGAGGCACCATCCCTGGAGGTGTTCAAAAGACAGGTTGATGTAGTGCTGGGAGGTATGGTTTAGTGATGGTGCTGCTTCTTGTTTGTTGTGCGGGTGCCTATTTATGTCAGTTAGGTTGACGGTTGGACAAGATGATCTTTAAGGTCCCTTCCAACCTAGAAGATTCTGTGATTCTGTGATTTATGGCTCCCTAACGATCACCAGAGGCTGCCGCAGGGCCGAGTTGGACATGCCGGCAAGCTCGGACATGGAAGAGGAGGCGGCGATGGCGCCATCAGCGACGGGAAAAGACTGGGGTTACAAATTAGGGCTCGAAGGAGCCTGTGGGAGAGTCGGAACCGGCAGCCGCCCTCACGGAGGACGGGAGGCGGTGGCATTAGGCCCCGGAGGCCGGCCGGGCCCGAGGAAGGCGATGGCTTGAGCCCGACGAAGGCACCGGCTGGGCCCCAGGAAGGCGCCCGCCTCTGAGGGAGACCAGCCCGCCCGCGGAGAGGCGGGCAGGTGCCAGGAGCCTTCTGGGAAATGTAGTCCTCCTTCTCCGCGGGGCGGGGACCTATCGTCGCGTCGCTCCCCGCCTCACCCCGCGGGGCCTGCTGGGGGTTGTATTCCCTTCCGCCCCTCGCCTCGGCAGCAGCCAATGGCTGCGGGGTCGGGAAAGACTACTCTTCCCAGCGTGCACCGCTCCGCCGCCGCTCCCCCGCCCGCCCAGCGTCGGGCGGGGCGGGCGGCTGTAAACAAAGAGGGCGGCGGGCGATGGCGGCTGTGGCGGGTCGCGCTGGGCGGCTGTGAGTCTCGCTGTCCACCCGGGCGGTGGTGGGCGACTCCGGTGCGCTCCCCGTGCAGGGGCTACGGCGGTGCGGGGCCGGGGCTGGCGGTACACATGGATGACAGTAAGGTAAGGGGGCTGCGAGGCGCGCCGGGGGCCAGCGTGGAGGCGGTGCGTTGGTGCAGGGAGGCCGGGGAGCCCTCCCGCCCCTCAGCCCGGCGGGTTCAAGCTCTAAGCGGGGCGAAGGTGTGCGAAATAAACCCCCAAAACGTCTCATTGCAGTTAATGGACGGGGGAACCGCGAGTGGGGTGAGCGCTCCAGCTAAAGGCCTTTGAGGTAAACTTCTCTGGAACCTTCCCTTGAAGGCCTCTGGTCGCTGACAGCAGGAAGGAGGGGTTGTCCCCCTCACTGTCCTCACTTACCGCTGTGCTGTGGAGCATAGCGCTGGGATGTTGCTTCTGGCTTTCCCTTAACACTTCAGGCTTGGGCTAGAGGCTGGATACAGGCCAGTGGTCTGATCTGTTGTGGTGGAGAGCATTCCTTTAGCACCCCAAATTTCTTAGATAATTAGCAACTGTGGACAAGTAATAAGGTATTAGGGTGTGAACTTGGGTTGCAGCCTTGTAATGGATGCTGGTGCTTTGATTCCTCTTTCATCTTCTTCTGAGAACAGCACAGTGGCATCCCTGAAGGTACATGTCTTCTGTTTAAGCAGAGCAAAGCGTCAGAAGATGCATGAGCAACACCTCCTCCATTTGCTTGCACTGGTGTGCCCCTAAAGCAGGACCTGCACGGTCAGCGTGAGGACTGAGGACATAACTGCTGTATCTGCTTAGTGCAGAGTTTCACAACTGAGGCTTCCCAGTTGAGTTTGAGTATTTCAGCTCGTTGGAGTGGTGGTTATGGTAGCATCACAAGGCTTGTGCTGGAGATAGCTCAAGTCCCCAGGAGTAAACTAGGTGAAACTACAGTTGAGGTAGGTTGTGAAGCAGCTGTCTTCTGACTCATAGTAAATTCTGAGCTTGGGTTGAGTATTAAAACTCATCACGTGGTAGACACGTCCCTGTGGCACTTCATCTGTTCTCGAGCCATCTGGTTTTCTTCCCACTTGAATTTTAGTAAAACAAAACTGCACTGCATGTGCTCATCAACCTGAATTCAAAGGAAGGAAAAATTTTTTGATGTAATTTTTTAGGGAATAAATCTAAGGAACTCAGAAGTGGTCAATAATCAGGAAGTATAAAGTATCACAGAATGGATTGTAAGCATATGAAAGGTTCATGGCAATTTGCCAAATTGACATAGATACTATTTGGGTTTATTCAGGCCTTGTCTGAAAGCTGCATAGGAGGGTGGAGGGAATCTTCCATCACTGAAGTCAACAAAATGCTCACAACTGTGAGAACTGCATGAAAGTTTATGTAATCAGGGCAGTAGTTTAGAAGATCCACAAGTTTTATTTCTGGTGGCATACATAGTTTGTGGATAATAGCTGAATTTTATTTCTTTTAGTGTTAAGAACACTTCATTTCTCCTGTATCAAAACTAACTTATTTGTAACATATAACTTTGTTATAGTTTGAGAAAACCCATAACAATCTATTGTCGTTTAGACAATCATTCTATCACCCGATGACCCCTCCCCACCCGGAAAGGGGAATTGGGGAACACAAAGAAACACAAGGGTTGAAATATAAAGATATTTAATAGACTAAGACTAAATAATTAACAATAATACTAAAGAACCAGTATTAATCACGATACTGATATTCACAGATTTGACAGAGTTGGAAGGTACCTCTAGAGACCATCCAGTCCAACCCCCCTGCCAAAGCAGGGCTGCCCAGAGCACATCACTCAGGAGCATCCAGACGGGGCTTGAAGATCTCCAGAGAAGGGGACTCCGCAGCCTCTGCCAGGGCTCTGCCACCCTCACCCCAAAGAAGTTCTTCCTCAGATTTGAGTGGAACTTCCCATGTTCCAGCTTGTGCCCGTTGCCCCTCGTCCTGTCACTGGGAACCACTGAAAAGAGTCTGGCTCCATCCTCCCTCAACCCACCCTTTAGATCCTTGTCAGCATTAATAAGGTCTCCCCTCAGCCTTCTCTTCTCCAGGCACAAGAACCCCAGCTCTTTGAGCCTTTCCTCATCAGGGAGATGCTCCAATCCCTCCATCATCTTTGTTACCCTTCGCTGGACTCTCTCCAGTAGTTCCCTGTCCCTCTTGAACTGGGGAGCCCAGAACTGGACGCAGGATTCCAGTTGTGGCCTCCCCAGTGCAGAGCAGAGGGGGAGAATGACCTCCCTTGACAATTCTCCTTATGCAGCCCAGGATTCCATTGGTCCTCTTGGTGACTGGGGCACAGTGCTGGCTCATGGAGATCCTGCCATCCACCAGGACCCCCAGATCCTTTCCTCTGTAGTACTTTCCAGTAGATCCACCCCTAACCTGTATTGGTGCCTGGGGTTCTTCCTCCCCAGGTGCAGGACCTTACATTTGCCCTTGTTGAACCAAGATAATATCAGATGATAGGGATGATCTAAGATATCCAAGACCTTGTTGAACCAAGATAATATAAGATGATAGGGATGATCTAAGATATCCAAGAATTATCCCCAGCCCATTCTCTCAGCAGGAAGCCGTGCGCTCCCAGCAGGGACAGCAAATGGCGGACACTGCCAGCGCAATGGCTTCAGGAGGAAGGGAAGGCCTCAGGGCTCTGGCACCGGGGCAAGGAGTTGTCTGGACCCGCCGCCATCAAGGGAGAGAGAGCTCTGCAGCAAACTTTTCTAATTGATATTGAATGTGACCTTCATGGTAGGAAATAATCCTGTTGCCAGCCTGGGTCAAATAGAGTCTTCTAGAAGTGCAATTTCCCCCAGCATTAGAGGAAAAGTTAGTCCTGTGTCTCTCAACCCAGGACAAACTTCCAGATTTTTCATTTAAAAAATAATTTTTTATCTGTTGTTGTGTTTTGTGAAGTCCTGATAATTTGCTTTTTTTTCTGAAACATTTTGGACACATTTACAAACTAAACTAAATCTTTTCATTGAGTCAGTAAGACAGCTCTTTGCTGTTTGTTTTTTTTTCTTTAGAAAAATTAATGTTGAGCAAAGCAGGGGTAAGCAGAGTGGAGTATTTATTCTTTATATATTCAGTCTCAAGTACAGTTCCCTAGTATGATGCTTTTATTTTATACTTACCACTGAGATACTTGCAAGGACAGTGGTGTTGACAAGGGTCCTGCCCAGAACTACTGGATGTGGCTGTACCTAAAAAAACTTTGAAAATCTTTGTTGCCTTAGCAGGTTTTTTATTAGGCAGTAACCTCAGGTGATACTGGATCCCTCAATCTTCTACTGAAAATAGCTGATACTTGTCAGTAAGTGCCTGCTGCTCTGACAGGCTTCACTGGAGTTGTTTTGAAGGGCTGTGGTTCCTTTCAGAACAAGTTCATGAGGCTGCAGGTTGCCTTAAGGGTTTGGTGGCTCCATTCAAGAGATCCCATTTCTCTTGGGAGGGCTCTTCCTGTTGCATGTTGCTGTGTCAGGATGAGGCAAGCACTATTTGTACTTCATTTTATAGCCCGTGTGGTCTGACAGCTTGAGCCAGCGTGTCCTTGAAATCTTCTGAAAGCCCCACTGAATCATGTTTTCCTCCTTATTGAGAGGCCCGTGTGATCGATGAGTCTTTGCTGTGAGTTGAAAGAGCGTGACTGTGAAAGGGATTTCCCTGTAAGCACTGAGATAACTGAGTTACATTAGTAGTGAATTAACCGTTCTGTATCTGCATCCACCCAAGTTCAGTGTTTCTTTCATCTGTGTGACACAAAGAGTTTAGAATTGGGTTTACAGGCTGTAATGTTTTCCCTAATTGTTAGTGCACTGTAATTTGCCTGTACTCAGTTTAAGAGAGCAATGGAAAAATGGTTCATCTTAACATATTCCTAAAAATGGGAAGGAAGCAGTAAGAAATAAAGGGAGAGGTAGAACATCTGAGCACCAGATCTTGAAAACTTTCGTGTTCTGGTTTTCAAGGCTCTTCTTAAATTAAACACACAAAACCCTCAACCAACCCCAAAATATGACCTCCTTTTCTTTCTCCTGTGGAGCTGCTCTGAAACTCAGGCCTGTTTAGATACTGGTCTGACTTGCTGTGATTTGAGCCATTGGTTTTGAAAGGGAAAGAGTTTAGTGGTGCAGCTGTTCCTTGGAAATTAATCTCTGTTAAAATAATGCTTAAGTATCTCTGAAGTATTTAGACACAGGAAAAAAGGAGAAATTCTATCACTGTGATGTCAGCCTTTATAGGTGAAATTGCTTGGTTAGTTTACAAGATTACATGTAACTTACTATATATTTATTACATACATTGGGAAGCGGGGGGGTATGTATTAGGGTAAGAAGTATTTTCCAAATTTGTGTTAGTTGATAAATAACTGTTGTTGGTAGCCATTAAAATACAGTTCTACTTGGCTAACTGCAGTCTTTTGTATTGGGTATCGAGGTTTTTGTAGGGCACACTAGCAGTTCTTATGAGAGTAATTACTCAGTTCGTGGCTAGAAATGAGAAATAAAAAAAAAATCTGATTATTAGATCATTTTTGTTATTTCAGTGAAATTAAAAAAAAAAATGAACAAAACCAAACCAGCAATAACAACAATAAAATTTTGGGATTGTCCTCTTTTATTACAAATATTCTTGTCCTGTAAGGAAAAGATAGCTTTAGTTTTCAAGAAGTTTAGATGGAATGTATTTTTCTTCAAAAATACGCTTAACTCAGCCAAAACATAAATGAGTGGATTGAGCTTTTTTAAAAGTGCATTTTGGAGACAAATACTATATTTTAAGTGGTATTTTTAAATTTAAAGTGTTTTGTTGTTTGTGGGATGGTTTTGTTTTTTAATGTATTGTGCGCTGTTCTTAATCTTAGCGGTGAATGTGGTACTTTCCTAAAGTAGTTTTCTTTTCTAAAATGCCTTGCTAGTTGTATATTATCCAATATACAAAGGAAAGTAAAAAAGCAGGCTTAGCAAAACCTTCTATTACCACTTCTGATAACAATAAAACAGTCTACTCTTCACGTTTTTAAACAAGTAGATCTCAAAACCTTCTATTACCACTTCCGA